TACTTGGGAGGCTGAGGCAAGAGAATTGCTTAAGCCTAAGAGTTGGAGGTTGCTGTGAGCTGTGATGCCAGAGCACTCTACATAGGGCGACATAGTGAGACTTTGTCTCAAAAAAAAGGTTTATCTATTGTTCCTTATGTAACCATAAATCCTGCCCTTAAGCCGGGGGTCCTCAAATTTTTTAAACAGAGGGCCAGTTCACTGTCCCTCAGACCATTGGAGGGCCAGACTGCAGGCCCTGGGACAAGTCAGCTGCTAAGCAGGACAGGCAGTGGTGGCAAAAACACCAGGCAGGCCGGATAAATGTCCTCAGCCGGCCGCATGTGGCCCGCAGGCCGTAGTTTGAGGACGCCTGCCTTAAGCAAATTTCTGTGCATTCACTCTGAAGCACATATACCTTTTCACTGTAGTATATGAGCCCTGGCTCAGGGGATAACAGCCAGGTAAGCTACCTATCCTATGTTCACTCAAGTCCATGGTTCTATTTGTAAGTTCCCCCAATAAAACAAACTATAATAAGAATAAAATGGATCTGCCTTGTTCTCTGGTTCCTTGGCTCCTTCTGCTTTGGGGGGGCCTTCATCAAACACGTGGGAATAAAGAAACTATTGGGGATGGACATGGTGGCCCATCCTAGCATTTTGAGAGACTGATATCAATCAGAGGATCACTTGAGGCCAGGAGTTTAAGAGTAGCCTGGGCAACATAGCAAGACCTAAAATCTCTACAAAATTATAGCAAAATTAGCTAGGCATGGTGGCACACACCTGCATTCTCAGTTACTTTAGAGACTGGGTTGAAAGGATTGCTTGAACCTCAGAGTTTGAGGTAAACATGAGCTATAATCAGTCCACTGCCCTCTAGCCTGGGTGATAGAGCAAGACTGTCTCTTAAAAAAAAAAAAAAAAAGAAATTTGTAGGTCAAGTTGGCAGTCCTAGGTGAGTGAGTGGATGAGGAAGGTGTGGGAGGAATCTAGAATAGTGTCTAAACGTTTGTCTTAAATGGTGATGTCACTGACCAAGGTAAAAGTAATAAGCTGGCAGTAGTGGAGAAGAGGGGAAGACTTCCAGTTCAGTGTGGTGAAGTGGACTTTAAAGTATCTTCATAGTAAGTAAAGCAAGCAGACAGCCCTCAGAATGGGAGAAGATATTTGCTGGATATGTCTCCGACAAAGGTTTAATAACCAGAATCCACAGAGAACTCAAACGTATTAGCAAGAAGAAAACAAGTGATCCCATCTCTCAGGGTGGGCAAGGGACTTGAAGAGAAACTTCTCTGAAGAAGACAGGCACATGGCCTACAGATATATGAAAAAATGCTCATCATCCTTAATCATCAGAGAAATGCAAATTAAAACTACTTTGAGATATCATCTAACACCAGTAAGATTAGCCCATATCACAAAATCCCCAAATCATAGATGCTGATGTGGTTGTGGAGAAAAGGCTTCTACACTGCTGGTGGGATTACAAACTAATACATTCCTTTTGGAAAGACCTCTGGAGAACACTTAGAGAACTAAAAATAAACCTGCCATTTGATCCTATAATTCCTTTACTAGGTATACACCCAGAAGACCAAAAAGCACACTACAACAAAGATATTTGTACCAGAATGTTGATTGCAGCCCAATTCATAATTGCTAGGTCATGGAAGAAGCCCAAGTGCCCACTGACCCACGAATGGATCAATAAACTATGGTATATGTACATCATGGAGTACTATGCAGCCCTAAAGAAGGATGGAGACTTTTCCTCCTTCATGTTTACATAGATGGAGCTAGAACATATTCTTAGCAAAGTATCTCAAGAATTGAAGAAAAAGTATCCAATGTACTCAGCCCTGCTATGATACTAATTTATAGCTTTCATAGGAAAGCTATAACCCAATTATAGCCCAAGAATATGGGAGAAGGGGAGAGGGAGGGGGAAGGATGGGTGGAGGGAGGGTGATTGGTGGGATCACATCTATGGTTCATCTTTTAAAGGTACATGTGAATCTTTCTAAATGAAGAATATAAATGTCTTAACACAGAAAATGACATGAAGGCTATGTTAAACAGTTTGATGAAAATATTTCAAATTGTATATAAAAATAACACACTGTACCCCATGACAGTATCAAGTACACAGCTATGATCTAATAAAAATAATATCTTCAGATTCCTAGTTTAGAAGTTCAGCAGGTACTTGGATGTAAGAGTTTGCCATGTCAGGCAAAAAGGCCAGGGTTAAGATGCAGACCAAGGAGGGAGCAGCATGGGGTGACAGTGAAGCTGTGGGGTACACTAGGAATGGCTGTTCTTAGGCTGGTGTTTGGCCTTGACATTCTTTTCCCTTCCCACCACCCTTGGTACTTGTCTTACCTCTGACCATTCCTTCTCCAAATGCCAAGCGGGCTCTTGTTCCTCCTGCCATAAAATGTGTTGTTCCCAGGTGATTTCACCACCCTGGTTCCCTACTGTGCATCCCTCAAACCTTTACCTCCAGCTCAGAATTCTTAAGATTGAGACCTGTGTGTCCAATCACTTTTTAAGAGAAAAAAGGTAGAAAAGTGAAAAGATTGTCTAGGGACCTTGTGTAAGGTTTGTGCCTCACTGTCCTGTTTTGTCCTGTATTCAAAATTGGTACTGTGATTGAATCTGGCTGTGACTGTCTTTTGTTTCTCTAAAAATATCAAATTTGAAAATCAGGTCAGATTTCAGACCTGTTATAAGCATTAACATGTATCCCCACCTCCCCACCCTACTACAATTATTACATGCCTTTATCCTTTATGCTTACTATATTATTTTCTTTTCATCAGGAGCCATAAATTACATCAAAATGGAAAGAAAATTAAAAATTTTACTGATATAGAATAAAAACTGTACAAATCATAAAAGAGGAAAAATAGTGTAAATTGATCCACCTTTTTAAAAACAAAAATCATAATTCTTACTTTGTGAAAAAGGAGTGCTTTTTACTCTAGAAGTCCTTGTTCTAGGATCATTTAATCATTTCAACGATAAAGGGACTCTGAACTCCTAAGGAAACCACTTTATATCCATAAAAATTGATTAAAACAAAACCAGTATTTGATAAATTTACTTTAAAATGTTTTTCACATCAACTACTTAAAAGTAGTTACAACAATATGATCTTCCACTCCCGAGGAACACATGAAGAGTGACCTTGGACATGATTATGACATTGTCAAAAGCACAGAACCGTCTGGGTCTGACCTGTGGGCTACAGAAATGCGTCCTGAGTTTATCTGAGTTGACATGTTGAACAACAGCTGTACAGAGTTCACCATCAGCAATAGTCCAGTTCTTTAGAAGCTTTAGCAGCTTTTTCTTTGTATTTAATCCTTTAGGATTATTCCTGCAGTAGGAGACTTAGCATCTTGAAAATTTCACAGAAGGGATTAAGAAGGTTCCTATCATTCCCAGAAGAGAGAAATCGTTCCTCTTCTAAAGAGTTACCTGTTCAGAAATTGTGAAGTGCACAGTCATCTCCCGAGTGAGCTGCTCTGCAGTGGCCCTCGGCCTGTGACACTTGTCCTTGTGTGTTCAGGGAAGCCTGCCTGCATATGAGCAATGGTAAGTGGCATCACAATGCATAAGGGCTCAGGAAAACTAAGTATTTTTCTGTCAAGCTGAGGCTTATCGAGGGTCATGAAGACTCATCTCAGCATGTATCTATGTACATACCTTCAGACCCTACAGGTCAATGCATAAGAACATAATCATTCTGTTCTTCACAAACTACTCAGGACTCAGACAAGGAACTGAACCAGTTCATGTAAATACCCATTTTCATACCAACTCGTGAGTTCAAGTTCTCAAAAAGCGGGAGATACTGTTTTTAGTGGTCAGTTTTAGATTGGGAGTACCTTTGACATCCATAGGAAATTATAATGGCTTTCTCCCTAGGTTTTAAATTCCTTTTACCCATTTACGACATTTTCTTTGTCACATACTAAATTCTGGCCAACTCCACATTGATTTACTACTATGACCAAAATAATATTACCCAGCTATTTGTATACATGTATGTATATCTATTTATTTGGTTGACACTTACCACTAATATTTCACCATTTCTAACCTATAAAAATAGTTTTCTTGGCTTGGTGCTTGTAGCACAGTGGTTATGGTGTCAGCCACATACACAGAGGCTAGTGGGTTTGAACCAAGCCTGGGCTAGCTAAACAACTGCAACAAAAAATAGCCGGGTGTTGTGGCAGGTGCTTGTAGTCCCAGCTACGTGGGAGGCTGAGGCAAGAGAATCACTTAAGCACAAGAGTTTGAGGTTGCTGTGAGCTATGACGCCACAGCCCTCTGCTGAGGGCGACATAAACTGTGTCTCAAAAAAAAAAAAAAAATAAATAAATAAAGATTAACGTGGTGGTTGGCCATTTAAAAAAAATAGTTTCCTCATATGATTGAACCTAATAAAATCTGAACTTTAGCTGGCCGGCTGTATCTCCTTACTAATACTACGCAGTACTTCTGCTTTACTTTAGAGCAGGGAGAATGAAAATGCTTACCCTATTCACCAGTTTTATTCGGCTTACAAAATTGTGTTTTCAAACTGATGGTAAATTTCATGAAACTATTTGGAGGTTTAGCAATTTCCACAAATTTAATATTTAACTAAAAAAAAAAATCTGGTCCAAACTGGGCATGCTGTCTGTGTAACTACATCACTGCTACTTAAATAGAATAGCTTATCTTCTGAAAAGATGGCTTTTGCAGGCTTATCGTCAGGTCTAGAATCAACAGGTCAAACAAGAAAATACCAAAGTGTTTTCAATTGGGAATTCTCTACCTCTGTATCCTCAATAATGTCTGGTATTACAGAATGCCTGTGGCTGTGGCACCAGTAAAAGAAGCCTCAGAACTTGCTTTCAAGAAACTCACCATCTCTCATGAGATATAAAAATATAGATAACGAGAGGATATTTAGAATTTAAGTTTCAAACTGGGACAGATTAAAACATAAAAAGATAGCACTTTAAACTGTCATCAAACATTCAAGGCAAATATCCAAATACAAATGTGCGTTGAGTCCAAATTCAGATCCATAAGATAATCAAATGTGTTCTGAACTGAAGTCCTCTTATCACCCCATCAGCAGTGACTAGAGATCTTCCAGGTCAGTTAAATCCACAGCCACTTTCAAGAACAGGGTATCATCTTTAATGTAGGTATTCTTGACATTCTCCAAAATGGAATGAGCCACAAATCGGGGACAGCCAGATGCAATGTTCATCTCCCCATCAGGTCTTTTAAAGCTGCTGCTATTGGGGTCTGCTTTGAAGGTCTCCATAATGTGGTTCTTTTTGCCACTCTGGTCCAAAAGCATCAGAGTCACCCTCTGCCTGAATGGCCACTGCAACAGTGAATCAAACTCTCCTCGCATCACCACAAAGTACAGGGACAGGTGTGTTCCCTTCCCAGAGCCGTCCCCATTCAGGTATGCCCTGGCACAGAGGCGGTAGCCACAGCGGCTGGTGTAGAAGGACTGGCTGAAGATGGACACTGTGTGCCCATCCACTGCCTCCCTCTTCTTCTTCTTGTAATCTGTCACCTTCCAAATGAGCTTTCCATTATAGCAGGCACCCTCTAGCAGTTTAAACCGCTCTTCATTTTTATTCAGCTGTGCTTTATGAATATTAATATGTTCATCATGTTTGTTACTCTCTCCTTCTAAAACAACTGCAAAGAAAAAAAAAAGATTCTTTTTGAAAGTTGTTTTTAGAATTTACCCCCCAAAATGTAATTCTGTAACCTGGTTTGGTGGGAACCAACCAAAATTTTGACATCCTAAAGATGAAATGAATTCCATGTCCACAGGTGGATCGTTTATATTTAATGATACTAATTCAGAGAACATCATATCTCAGCAAATTGACACCAAGAAAACTGAATGTGTACTCTTTAAACTGAAGCTCGCTGAAATGTAGAGGAAACTGAGCATAGTGTGAAGTAGCGTGGTGAGCCCCACATTTTTCTAACTAGGATGCATTTAAATAGCCACCCTCTTTTATATTTTTCCAAACCTGTAACAATGATTTCTCCCTTAGCTCTCCTATTATTTTCTACTTTCCTTAAAAATCATCACTCCCTGTTATTATAATTCCTGGCCCCATTACACCCCTTGCCTATCTCCCCATTACACCCCACCTCCACCCAGCTCGTGGTACTTCCTCATTTTTGCCTCAGACAAAATCTCGTGGACAGACTCTCACTCGGCTCTTTCACAAATAACGGATTCAGATTCAACCACTGTTTATCCCGGAGAGGTGTGACTATTTGGCAAGCCATTCAGTTGTTTCATGTCCACAAGCAAACAAACAATTCACCAAAAGAGAAATAAAATATTAGACATACCTAATCTTTGATCATTGTGTTCTAGCAGGGTAATTTTCTGTTTCACTGTATCAATTGCTTCTGTCAAAGGCTTCAGGTCAAATTTATTTTGTTGCTGGTTAACCATTTGTAATAACTGACGCACTTGAGCTTCTAGCCAAGCAGATTTGTCAACGTGACTGACAAGAACCTTTCGTTACAAAATGAATCACATCATTAAAAAAAAATTAGTTAATATTTTAATAATCCATTGAGATTAAATTTTTTCAATTCAAATGTTTCATTTTAATCAGTTATTGACATAAAAAATACAAGTTTAGAAGAGAAAATTTGAAGAGGATCACAGAGATGAGTCACCTAATTATTTCCCTCCTCCTCTCCTATCACAGCTCCTGTTCTAAATCTTTGAATTTCTCTTTATCTAATTTTTACTCCTCCCTCAATTTCTGTCCTCTTGGTTCTCTAACCCGTCTTTATATATCTACTTTCACATTGTCTCTCCTCTGCCTTATCACTTTGTTTTCTTCTTAAAAGTTACTCTCCTGATTCACTCCTGCTCTGCTAGAAGGCCTGAACACTGCAGCTGTTACAGAAGGGCCTGGTAAAGCTGAAACTACTTTCTATTGCTCTCTCGGGTAGAAGAGATTAAGTAAAACTATTCCACCTTGCCCTACATGCTTTAATTCTGACTGGTCAGTCTTTGTATTAGAAAGAGGTCATAACTGAGACAGTAACATGATGAATTTTTTTCTGCACATGCCCACACCTGTATATATGCACATGTATACATACAGATACACATACGTATATAGATAGTCCCTGACTTAATGATAGTTCGCTTTTAGATGTGTTGCCAAAGCGAGCACAAGAATTCAAATTATAACTTTTTTACTTTAAGATAGTGCTGAAGAGATATGTAATTCAGTAGAAATCATATTTTGAATACCTGTATAACCACTTTGTTTTTCACTTTTAGTACAGCTTTCAATAAGTTAAATGAGATATTCAACACTTTATTATAAAATGGACTTGTATGTTAATTTTGCCCAACTGTAGGCTAATGTAAGTGTTCTGAGAATATATAAGGTAGGCTAGCCTAACCTATGAAGTTTGGTGAGTTAAATGTATTAAATGCACTTTGGAGTTAGGATAGTTTCAACTTACAATTGGTTTATAAGGACAAAATTCCACTTCAGGTCAAGAACATCTGTACATATATATGCACACATTATACATACGCTTACATAGACATACGTATGTGTGTATACATACATGTGTGTACATACATAATTTTCATACACATATATAAAAACACAAACATAATCATAATGTGCTGACATATTACATATACTCATATCTATACACATACACACAAAACCTCTGTAAGTTGACCACCCAAGGGAATATAACAAACTGGTCAACATAAGGAACGAGGCCTACTGTACTGATACATACATGTGGTCCATGTCCAGTCTATGAAAATTAGGTCAACTTAAGGAAATGGTCAATTTAGGTGCTACTGTCTATAACGTGTATATAAAATGGAGGTTCTACTGTATATAAAATGTGCTGACCAAATTTGGAAGTTATTGGCCTAGAAATTCTGGGATAATGCAAACTTCAAATACATTGCCCACACTACATGTCTTGAAATCCTTTTTACTATAAATTTTGTAATCATGATAAAGACATTTGGGGAATTTGTTTTTGCTTAGATTATTTAGCATTCATAATTTACAAAGTAATTTTTTGTATATTTTGTTAATGTTTATTTTTTCCCAAGGGAATTAACAGTTTTACTTTGTTAGCTGCAGAATACAGAACCATGGACTCTCTCAATGAATCTGAAATGAAGTGATTAATAGTGGCCCAACATTAATTAAAACCACAATTGCCATAAATTATATAAAAATATTATATCAATGTTAAATGTACTGACATTGCTAAATGTGCTGGGGTTATGTTACAGAAGATCTTAATTCTTAGGATATACATACTAAAGTATTTAGTATTTAGTTTAGTTTTTAGGATAGTCATATGCAGTGTACTCTAAATGGTTCACACACAGAGGCTGCGGGGAGGAGGAGCAAATGCAATGAGACGTTGACGAGGCATGAATGTGGGTGGAGGATATACAGGTGTTCTTTGCACCATCTTATTCTTACAGCTTTATTGTGTATTTGAAACCCTCACTGTCAACTGAAAGCCAAATCTTGGGTTTGAATGGAAAGGCCATTTCTCACCTGGATGTTTGAGAGGAAGCTTCCATTTTTGCCAAACAATTGTGAAAACTGCTTGAACTCTTTTTCGAATTTCTTTACAGTTTCTGCTAGCTGCTGGATTTTACTTTCTTTCTGTTCTAGGCTCTTATGTAAGTCAGAAATCTAATAGGAATGAGGAAAAATGAGATCATTGAGAAAGCATGCATACAATTATGTTAAAATAGTATTTGCAGGTAAGAAAGTATTTCTAGGGGGGAAATATGCATATATAATCTAGGATAACATTTATAGGCTGATTCCTTATAATTCTAGGAAAATATTGGTAGGTAGTTCCAAAAAAGCAGATCCACAGAATTTCTACCAGCCTTTTCTAACCTAACCTACTATGCTGTTGCATCTAATGATGGTGGCATCACTGGACTGAACTTACTAAACTTTCTGTTCACTCATTCACCATGTACTTATTAAACAACCATAGAAGCTGGGCACAGTGGCACACAGTGTGTGCCAGTTATTTGGAAGGAAGGAGGATCACTTGAGCCCAGGAATTTGAGTCCAGCCTGGGCAACATAGTGAGACCTCCATCTCTTAAAGACAACAAAAACCAACCATAGAATACTGGTTTACCTTAACATAGTAAATGTGATATGCACAGTACCAATAGTAACAATAGTAAACATCTATCATACCCATATGATCATACTAATTCATAGCTCTTTTAATCTTCAAAGACCCTATGAGTTAGTTATGAACGTAAGTCCCATTTTTCAGATAAGGAAATAGAGGTAGAGAGTTTAAGTAACCCATCCAGTATACAAGCTTGCAAGTGGTAGGCATAACACATGAGTAGCATGTTTACTGAGAATTTGTAATCTATTTGAGGGAAGAACAAGAAATACGAAAGTGATCATAGACAACTTATTCTCGTATCCATTCAACCGGCAATACTTGCCAACTTTAACTTTTAACACATGGTATTACAAACAACAACAAAACCCTCTCACATCCATTTCTCATTTCCTCTCATCTAGTTTCAGTTTTCATTATGTCTCACCTAGGCTGTTAAAGCATCTTCCTAAACTATCTACCTACCCTCGACACATACCAGAATATAAGCTCCATGGGAGCTGGGGACTGACATGATGTTACAACAGTCCATTATAATTCCAGGCACCAGACTGGTACCTGGCACGAGCAGGTGTTTGGTAAATACTGTTTGTTAAATGGATGAATGACATGAATGCTCTCCCTGTCTATGGTTTTGTTCTCCAATTTGTACTCCACACTGTGACCAGAATAATATTAAAAAATAAACCTTGGCCGGGTGCAATGGCTCACACCTGTAATCCTTACACTCTGGAAGGCCAAGACAGGAGGACTGCTGGTGGTCAAGAGTTCAAGACCAGCATGAACGAGACCCTTTCTCTACCAAAAGTAGAAAAATTATCCAGGCATGGTGATACATGCCTATAGTCCCAAGAGGATCGCCTGAGCCCAGGAATTTGAGGTTGCACTGAGCTATGATGAGGCAATTGTACTCTAGCTGGGGTGACAGAGCAAGACTGTCTCAAAAAAAAAAGAAAAAAAAAAGGTAGCTCTTGTCTGAGCCTCCTCTACTTAAAGTCTCTAGTGACTTTCTTTTACAGTTCCCACGGGGCCCTACATGACCTGCCCTTGGCTGCCTTTTCAACCTTATGCCCACAAACAATTCACAAACAAGTGCCCTGCCCAGCAAGACTACACAACTCCTAGGCCCTGCTCTCACACATTTCTCTCTTCATCTAGAAACTACCATTTTTTAAGCCTCCACTCAAGGACACATCCTCTCAGAAGTATTTTCTTACTAATACACCCAGACTACCTCTGCAATTTCATGACCCCATCCATACTCTACTGTATAACTTACCCATATCACTCTTATAACTTGCCTTTTTTTGTTGTTGTTTTGGTGTTTTACCTCCACTAAATCGTTTCCTGAGACGATGTTTCCCTTATTTCCTATCCCCAGAGTTTAGCACAGTGTCTGACGCTCAGAGGGCACTTGATACAAGTTTATGAATGAATTCACAAACAACTGAAACAAACATTTGCTCTCTGGCCCCAGAGCTACGTAGACTCCTAGAGCTGATCTCCACCTACCCACCTGACCAAAAGCAAACTCAGTGCGTCCTCTCTCCACACTCACTGGGAGCCTGCGCCTGTTCTTACAGCGTCCATCCCAGTTAGCAACATCACCATGTTCCATGCCTTCCCAGCTGACAGCATGTCACTCAACCTCAATGTCTTTTGGTGCCCATTCCCCATCCCACTGCCCTGGCCTGGTTGAGCCGTCACTATCACCTCCAGCGTTTTGCTTCCCCTGATACCGAAATGTTTATCACATGTCAGGCGCTGTGCTAAATGGCTAAATTATCTCATTTTACCCTTACCACCTCCCCATTTACAAAAGAGGAAACCGTGGAAGAGAGAGGTGAAGTACCTTGCCCAAACTCATATGGTCAGTGCAGAGCTGGACTACAAACCCAGGCATTCTGGCTCTACAGAGCCTTCGCTCTTACCAAGCACCGTGCTATTGACAGCTATCTACTTAAAAACCA